AGTCTTAATTCAATTTTCATTGAAAGACAAATTTTTCTGAGATAGGCCCAAGTTCGCTGTTTCAATGTGCTGTTGATTAGCTTTAGTGTGCCAAAAATTTGAGGTCTTACAAGAGAGTAAGAAACACAAAAAAAGGAGGAGAGATAAAGACGATAGATGTTTGATACGAAATAATTTAGGAGCAAACAACACCAGAACATCCACCAACCACCCACTTTGTGGTGTGTTGTTGAGAAGCAGTTAACGGCGTGCCAGTGTCACAATAACCATAATATATTTATCAAGACTGCACAATTAAATCACTGACAAGAAACAGAAGGAGCTGATAACACCAGATCACGCTCATCAACCACCCACTCTGGCCTGGCGGCTGGACGCCGAAGCTCCTACTACACAATAAAAGACAGCCCGAGACAAACGACGGTAAGTGGAGGTTGGGCCTATGAGAAGAGAAGAAAGGCACATTTGGGCCCTTGTCTCCAAAAGATAACTTGTTATACCCAGGCCTCTGAAAGGGGGCACCGGGAACTCGGATGCCAAAAGGTAGTCTAGGAGTGTAGAAAGGAAAACGGGGATAAAAAAACAAAAACAAAAGCAAACAACATTATTCCAACAGCTGAAAAGAAGCAGCTGACATGACCTAGTAGTTGCTCTATTACGCTAGCTCAGTTGGTGACATGCTGGACAACAGAGGGCCCTGGCTGGTTAGAATCCCAACAAATGGAGTGCTATTGAAATTGGGTTGTTTGTAAGTCTCTCCCCCTACTTTGGCTTGGTCTTACCAGAGATGAACATTTAAGTCGGAGATGGACATTAAAGTCCACCCCACTTGATTAAATATCCTTACATACAGTGCTGAAAGGGGTGTTAAATCGGTATAATATCATCGTGAACCTGCTTATTAGATTAAAGCATCACCTGTACAAACATTTTAAACTTGTACAATCACAAAAATGCCAGTGTCGAGAAGCAAAACCAAATTGTTGTACACATGCTCCAGCAGTGCAGGAAACACAGAGCCTTATGACATGAAACATTGCCAGCCCCATTAACACTATAGAAGAAGCTGTATGGGCCAACAGAGGTACCATGCAGGATGGCCCAGTATATGATGTATCTGGTCTTAGTTTTAGTTTAAGTAGAGGTTTTACGGCGCTCGCAACTGCATAAAGGTCATACGAACGCCAAGGGGTGGATGTCAACAGAGATCAAGTCCTTACAGAGAATCAGACTTACTCTGCTCACTTCTCTAGCTTCAACAGCACAAAGTCTGCTTCGACTATCACGGCATTCCGGAAATAGTGGGTCACAAGAGTGTGACAAACATACCAAAGAAGTAGAGGAAAATGACAATAGTAAGGATTAGGAAAGAAAAAGCAGTAGTTCCCTGTTGTAGATCAGGCACAGTTATGAGCGTGACATTGATGAATCAGCCCATTTACAATTTTACTGTGCATGATCGAGAAGAGAAATGTTCCCCCTTTGGGAATGGCCTAAAGACAATTCAGTCAGTGGCACCGCCTCGGGGGGTTGTATCTGGTCTTCACGTGTGATGCAAAAGAGAAGAAGACCCAGCTTCATCTTATTGGAGAGGAAACTATTGCACAATGATGTACATTGGAGCATTGCCACGACAATAAGTAGACTGGTACAGTTCCATATAACTTGTCAGAGGTTCATTTCATTCAATCTAAGCAATATACAAACAATTGCTAATTTACAGTTACTAGTTTCTACAATCAAGGTTTGCAACAACTGGTAAATTCGTAATTGTTTAAATTACGCATCGACAGTGAAGTAGGGCAAACAATGAAGAACTTTAACAGCAAAATGACACAAAGAAAAACTTAGCAAATTTGTCAAAATAACAGAATGAAAAAAAAAGATACCTCTACTGAAAACAAGAAGAATCATTGACTGGAAGAAAATATGTACGTTTACCACATCTAAAATTCAAGCTTTATAACTGAAAAACAAATCAAACATGATTTTCAGACAAATGTCATAAAAAGTTACAAAAGAAAAATACAAATAAATAAACAACATTTTGGAAAAAGGGGAAGAATATTTACCCCACATCAAAAAAACCAACAAGCAAGAAACAAGTAGGGGGCTCTCGTGGCCTAAGGATTAAGGTGTTCGCTACTCATTCAAAGGTCCCGGGTTCGAATCCGGGTAGCGACGGAAACATTTTCTTCTCTAAAATTGTCTCCTTTCCCCTCCTTTCCTGCTCTCTAGCAATGTTCTGTCGTCAGCTTTCGTCTCCACTTTCTGCCCCCACCCCATCACCACTTTTGCCCCCTCCTCTGGGCTTCTAACTCTTTCTGCAGCCTTTCTACTGCTTCTCCTTGGCTCCTTCTTACTGCTGTCTTTCAGCCACACCCCTGACCTTCTGGTAGGAAAGATCTAAACCTAGCCTTCTCGGACAAGGAGAAAAACTCCCGGAGGTCCTGTGTGCAAGCTGCGCACGTTGTTGGCGGTCTAAAATTGATAAGAGCGGGCTTCCGCCCCCACCCGAGCAAAATTCAAAATTTCTTACCAACTGAAAATGTTAAATGTGTCCCATGTGATCATATGACCTTGTGCAATTGCGAGCACCATAAAACACTCACAAAAAAAAAAGAAACTGTTATGTAAGGGAAATAATAAGACCTGCTTGTGGTTCATTCCCTTAGCAGAACATTGGCTATTAAGTTGTTCCCCTTTGTAGAAACACTTCCATGCTGTTTATTATGTCATTTTCATATCATATGTCAGGTTGGTATTTCATATTCTTTGCCACCGTTTACTATTAGGCTGGTGTTGTATTATTCTATCTGAGAATGACTGAGGCGTGTGAATTATTAATGAAAGCATGTATTCTGTATCATGTAAATAATCTAACATGTTGGGTAGATATTGTTCATTTTACATATTGATCAGGAATAAACTGCTTCGTTATGTTCGACCCAAGACGAGACTCCTGTGTTCCTGATTGATGTTCAAGTTTGCTGTTACAAGTTACCTGGTCCAAATACAGTCCGTAACAGAAACAAATAGAGCAGAAAGGAAAGTAATAATTTTTTGTTTCCTCCTGTACACATAAACCAAATCATCATCATCATCATCATTGCCTTTCTCACCCTGCACCAGGGTATAGGCCAGGGACAAACACCCCCCACTTTTCTCTATCCTGGGCTAGCCTCTTGATGTTATTCCACGTCTTCCCACTTTTCTTTATTTTTTAAACCAAATGACTGACCATTAAGACACTTCCATTACTTACAAGACCTTTCTTACCATTTCGTTTATTCTTATTATTTTCAAGCTTTATGTCACAAGAAAAATTGTAAATATGGTAGGTATATATATACCATTTAGATCTCAGTGTACACTTAGTACATGCTTGATTTGGACCCCTACACCCCGATGCATACAGCTTGCAAACTTCAGTCAATTGATTGATAGTCATTCTACCTTCGCACACAGCTTGCAAACTTCTGTCAGTTGATCAAATTGACAGTCATTCTACCTTTCATGTTCAACTCTTTTTTTTGCCTTTATAACAATTTAAGGAGAGTTAATTCTCTGTCAGCCTCATAAGTTCCCTCAAATAAAATAATTAATGCACCCCCCCCCCCCCCCACATAAATGAACTCAACAAGCAAATAAATTTAGAATCGGAAGTGCGCAGTGGGGGGGTGGGGGGGGGGTAAATCCATACCGCTGACAAGCTTAGTGTGAGTTGTGATGCTCATCACATTTTGAGTCCTCGGCGGTCAAGACAGTCTCAACTTAAAGTTAAGCCATAACACACAACTACCAAAAAAGAAGTTATAAGACACTTCCATTATTTACAAGATCTTTCTGGTACACATAATAATCGGTAGACCAAGATGAACTGAAACTGGTGCCATTCATGTCATATGGTCATCTCCCATTGCCTTCTTCTTTTTCTTTACGAAGTGACTCTCCGAACACTCTGGAAAATAAACTTGACCTCTATTTCTCCGAATGGTCTCCGTTATCGAGATTTTTTTTATTTGCGAGATTTAGGCGTCATCTTTTATTGATTTCATTCTGTCATTCTGCGAGGACTGGGAAGAAGCATTTTTTAAATCGAATTCAATTTCTAGAGCTAGACATTTTTAATGTCTCAATATTCAGATACTTCAATTGTGGATGGGGCAACGTTTCCGGACTATACTATACTTCATTTGCAAATGCCTTCATAAGGTACTGCGAGAAAACAAGACTGCTCGACTCTGACAGAAATCCTGTTTTGCATTTAGTCACCCCTAAAGCAAAAAGTAAAATCCTTCAGGTAAACACACAAAAAAAATCCCTCCACACCTTATATACATGCACACACACACACATGAGCGCGCCGTTCGGAGAAATAGAGTTCAAGTTTACTTTCCCCGAGCGTTCGGAGAAATAGAGCCGGCCTTTTCTTTGTTATGATGTCGGTTCTTTTCACGGTAGGCATAGAGGGTGAGCTAAAGGTAAATAGTCGGATGATAAGCTGGACAATAGTGTCTACCGGCAGCGATGCAACTGTCTTGACCTAGGCGACTGACAAGTTTGAGGATGCCTTTCCTTACCAATCTTACTTTGCTTAAAATTATGACCGTTTCCACAATTAGGCTAGTTTAGATCAAGGTCTAGAAATCTAGTTGAAAACGGGAAGGAAACAGGATTCACAGATGATGTCTATCAAACTGTGCTTAAGTCGCGAGGTAGTTAAAACGCAGATGAGTTTATCCAAGGCTAATTTGTATTATTCTTTGAAAAACTGTGTACGTTCGGAATACGGAAGTGACAGTTAGCAAGCCAGCCTCGACTTTGAGAAGGGGGACAGAAAAGAGGGCGAAACTGTAAAGAGGCCTTTTTCGACTCGAAACCGTTCTCAAAAGCTGAAAATAAAAACAAGCATAATCCACCAGACACAGTTCCTATTAATATAAAATGGCAATGTTAAAAACACAAATAACAATTGAAAAAAAAATGCAAAAACTTACAAGCTACACACGTTTTAGTAGATGATGTGTCCCAATATAGGTCACGGTATTCTCACCTGCTATGACACAAACACGACACTGGCCTACACACAACTCAAGCCTGTTACGGCTTCAAAACGACAAGCCCATTGGGTAGAGCGCCTCCAAGTGGGCAGGTGACACAAAGCTTCATGGACGACAAGTGACATAACTCCGGCCGGACATGGACCGTATTCCAGCTTTCGTCGTCAGATGGCGCGAGTGACTCTACGGGTTCAATGGTTCAATTGAAGCTTATCAAAAAATATGCCAGTTAGGTTTATTTGTTTATTTAAGTCGCAAGCAAAGAAGCGAATATCACTTTTACATTTCCGTGGTAAAACTATTGTTTTTTACTTAAATTTATTAACAAACGTTCCTTCTAGTTATTACGTTTCTAATGAATCATTGGTCTTTACTTTTCTATGCGTCAAGTGTGTGATTGAACAGCAGACGAACAACCTACGCTTTGCCTTTCAGCTAATTAAGAGTCAACTTTAGCCGTTTTCTTTTTTTTTTCTGGAGAAGTGGTGATGTATAGTATTGTATAGATTTGCTATTGCTGAATTGTACATTGTACATGTACCACTAAATTGGAGAATCCCAAAACCAGAAAAATGGGGCAGACTCATGTAGGAATGAGGTGTTACGCGACTGGGCCACATGGCTAATCAAATATAGGAAATAACACATCATAATTCAAAAATCTTTCACATATCTGCTGGCCCAGACCAGTGACCGGTCTTGGAAACGGAAAGGCCTTATAATGGCTTGGGTGTGCCAAATCCAATTAATCGGTAAAGACCAATGCGCGGACAAAAGATTAAACGTGTTTACCTACATTTACACGTTTGGAAGTGAAACCCAAAAGTAATTACTTTTTTTTCTTCCGAGGATTATCACCTCACCTGAAAAGACAGGATTTGTAGCAGCCTATATAAGGCCTACGATCTGTAGATGTCAAAAACATATTTCCACAAGTTATAATAATATGAAATGCAAAAGGAAAAGTTAATGATGCTCAACTTCAAGAATGAAGGCAAATTTCAGCCGTTACCTCACAATAGTTATAGCAGCTCACAAAACAATTTTTCGAAAAATAGATAACAAATATAATAAAAATGGCGACAAGGATAATTACTCTGGTATCGAATAAACGCCCCCCCCCCCCCCCCCCCGTTTAATTTAACCCCCTCCCCCCTCCCCCTTCGCCGTTTGTTCCTACCCCCTGTTTTATTCGATACCTTAGAGTATGTGTGTTCATAATGATCAAGTCAGGTCTTCGACAGACATCGGCGATTATGGTTCGCAATTCATTCCTTTGCTCGGATACTCTCAATAAAGCTTTCGATCCCAGTCACCCATCTGAGGTTTTCAATTAAAGTTGCTCGACTGAGTCTACCCCTGCCTCGTTTGCCTTCAATGGTACAACTGAGAGCTAGATGTTCAGATCTGGATATCCAGCCTCGTCCATGTGCCTGGAGCCGTCTTTACTTAATCGGTTGTTGTTGTTTTGTTTTGTTTTGTTGTTGTTGGGGTCTTTTTGGGTTGGGGGGTGGTAGTATTAGTTGTTGTTGTTGTTGTTTTTGCCTTTTCCTTATTTTTTTCCCTAGTAAGTTGAAAGTGAAGTTTAATTCGTTGTTTTAATTTTCTCAAAGCAAAAATAAATATTATTTATATATAAATAAAATGGAGATGGAGAGCTTTTATACTTGGGCACTATAGGTACGCGAGAAAGGCTCATGATGGTTATGACAAAAACTAACAAATAGGCCCATCTGAAAATTAGCTTTAAAAGACAGGTGCAGATGAGAAATACGAGGTACAGAAGGTTAAAGGAAGAAAGGGAAAAGGTTTATATATTGAAAAGTACAAAATGGAACAGATTGAGGTTTGAGAGGATACAACACACGCATTCACGCACACACATAAACACACACACACAAAGTAGCGAAACCATCCTGGATGAAGGAAGATGTAGGACTTTATAACTTTAGGCGCTTTTTTTGTTATATGCAGCTCGTGTCATCATCAAGTGACATATCTGCGGCAGACATTGGCGATCATGGTTCTCCATTCATTCCTTTGTTCGGATGCTCTTAGGGGGGGGGGGGGGTGTCCCACAAGCGAGCTAACTCCTTTATTTCTGGACCTAAAAACCTTAAATTTGGCATACAACTACAACTTCGCCATGATACAGGTATTACGATGAAAAAAAAATTTCCCGGATCCAAGATGGCCGTCATTTTTATGGCGGCCATATTGGATGTTCACATCATGTTTTCAAATCAATACTCCTCTGAAATTTACCGATGGATTTTATTGTCCTTTGGCACACATGTACCCAAGAGGCATATAAGTTAAATATTGTCAGTATCTTTCGATATCTTATTTCGTTTCGGAGTTACAGGAAGAAGCGCGCAAATCTTGTCAAAAAATGCAGAAAACGGTCAATTTTCCAAATTTTTTAAATCATAAAATGAAAACCAAGATAGATATAAAAAAAACACTGAAAATACAATGTAACCACCCCTAAGGGCAACAAGTATGCCAAGTGCCATCAAGATACACCTGTAATCTTCAGAGGAGTTTCGAAAAATGTGTCAACAATTTAAAAATCAAATATTTTGGACAAAAATGAGATACCTCTCTAATTAGTGAAGATAGAATAACAATGTAAGAAGAAAAAATGTTGGGCATCCAACTAGCTGCAATTGTGCCAAAGGACAATCAAATCAACAGAGAAATGACTGAGAAAAGGCAAAAAATATTGTAATACCCAATTTGACCCAGATTGACCAAAAATAGGTGGGACCCCCCCCCCCCCTCCCCTTAAAAAAGTTGCGTTACCCATAATATAATGAATATTTCCCCGTCACCCATCTGTTTGGGTTCAATAAGTCTAAGTAGGTTGCTCTGAGCCTATCCCTGCCTCGTTTGCCTTCAATTTTGCCAGTGATAGCTAGATGTTCAACACCTAAAATGTCTATCCAGGTGTCCCAAAAACTGCATTTGTCTTTTCCTGATTGTTTTTATCAGTGAGCCTCCCACGTGGTCTTCATCAAGGACTACCTCATATTTGGATTTCTGTTCTTTTCAAGATATTCTCAGCGATCTCCATAGAAACCACATTAATTCTGTTGCTTTTATTTTATTTCCTCTTCCTTTGGTGATTGTCCAGCATTCGCAGCCGTATATAAGGGTTGACCATACATAGCATTTCAAAATTTTCATTTTGGTAGTCACTGAGATGTTTCTATTTTTCAGGATTGGGCTCACTTAATATGAAACCATCCAGGCCATTGCAATTCTTCGTTTTATTTCTGTAGAACATTTGGTTTTAGATGTTATTATAATGTATCAAAGATATTTACACAAGTGGATTTGTTTGATCTTTTTGCCTTTGCTTATGACAAGTTATGAGATTACAAATAGGAGTTGCTGCTTTTTAGATATCACCGTGCATTCTGTTTTCTTCATTATTATTCAACAACTCTTTACGTTCACTTTCCGTTAATACAGTATCTATATAGAAGCGATTTGAGGTCCTTTTCTAAGTCTGCTGTTTAAACTGTGTCATCGGCAGATCTGATATGTTATTAATATTTTCGCCATTCACGTCGAGACCTGGACATTCTTCTATGTTTCTAAGGATCGTTCCCTGTAATCTTGGTCTGGTGACATAACACATCCTTGCCTCACTCCTCTTCTAAATCTGCTTACATTCGCTGCATTCTCCATTAATTCGTACAGCAGCGTTTTGGTCCCAGTACAAATTCCTGATAATGCTCAGACCTTTTCCATCTATGTCTAGTTCAGGCGCGGTTCGTCCATAGAGCACAGTCGTGCAGTGCCGCCCAAAATGTTTTAAAGTTCTATGACGTAAAGCATCCACAATAATAAAATAAAAGACGCCTGAAACAAACACTAGCCTAATGTTATATCAAAACAAGGCCCTCGCTGGAGCCATAACTGTCATTTCTATTCTATAGCGCCGTAAAACATCTACTATGCCATGCCTACGTTCATGCGCTGTATATCTAAACATAACAGGATAGTCAACAGTGGAAACCAGACCTATAAATCGCTCTTTGGGATCACCCAAGCGATGACGAATCTTGTAGTGAGTTTGGCGGTACATTAATATTAATAAGACGGCACATCTCAAATGTGCTCCTGCCGAATAGCGCCGAAACATAGCCCACAGTAGGCAATCTAAAAATAAACCCTATAGACTGTGCACTATTTCATGCCAAAATTATGTGAGCCCCGGAGCAATCCAGCGGAGTGCTCAAGTGAATTGTGATTGGTTCATTGTCTTGTCGCTATTTTAAGTGACTCTGTGACCGTGAACCTGAGGGAGGAGAACGTGACATACTTAAGTCACCGCCCTATGAGTTGTGCTTTTAAGCGGTTTTGTAGTGGAGTGGTGAAAGGTATTGCTTGGGTGTTCAGTTCTAATGCAGGATGAATGAAATTGACGTTTAGCTAACCAACAGATTTAGTTCTAGAAGTCAAAGCCACAAGTAAAAAGAATGAAAATAAAAGCACAAGGTCTTCCTTACCAACCCAAAGATCCTAAAATTGTACACCATCCCATTTACTCTGCCTTTGATTATCTTCAGCCTAAGATATCTTTATTGTGCACACCCACTTTATAGACCCACGAGCCGCCCCTGGTCTAGCTCTTCCAGTATTCTAATATAGCTCATCATGTCTAACCTTTTCGAAAGCCTTTGAATAATCTATGAAGCATAGTACAGATCATTTGTGTGCCCCAGTGCCTGTTCCCATTAGCATTGTTTAAAATGAATGCATGTATAGCATTTCTGGTGCCACTGTCAGGAACAAAGCCGAATTGTGTTTTAGATATCTATGGTCTTAGACTTTTTAAAATCTCATTCTTCCCAGTAGCCATTAAGTATTCGCAGCAAGATTTTTTGTAAAATGGCTCATAAAGCTTGTGTTGTTTTATGCATATCACACTCAATGGCACCCGGTGTTTTAGGTAAAGTTACAAAAACCGATTTCATCAATATCTTAACTATTTGTTGTTACTTCAGTGCCTATAGTTCTTCTAGCGCGACAATCACTGCTTTATTTTACTTTTATCCGCCCCTTTTACCCTTTTGGGTGCCGAGGGAAGAAAGAGACGTCTCTCTGCCACCAGCCGCAGAGCTTGGGTCAGGGGAACGCCATGAGTTGTTAGTGTTTCCCTGACTCCATTTATCCATGTCTTTCTCAGTCGCCCTCTAGCCTTGTTGCCATTGAATTTGTCGATGCAGGCACGTTGGGGTGATATGGTGTGTTGGTAATCGCATGGTGTGTTGGTAATCGCATACAATCACAGCAACGCGGATATTATCTGGCCCTGTGGCTTTTCCTTGTTTCATATGGCAACTACTTCTGCTTTCAGTATAGGTGGTCCATTTCTTTCTTTCTTTCTTTCTTTCTGGTTCTTCTCCTTTATTAACTTTAAGTTCTTATGCATTCTGAGCACCTGTTTAAGACGTTCATTTTGTCCATTAAAATATCTCCTTATTCTTTTGATCTTATGCACCCTGCATTTGAGCATCCTTTTCTCCCACTTATTCCTTTGATTTTAGAATGCATGTATTTGCTGTCTTTGTTTTGATTCTTCTTCTTTGGGCTATTTGTTGACACTGATCATTTATCCATGTTTTGTTTTTTTCACTTCGTCGTTGCATTTTGTTAATGTCCTTACCAGACCAAAGTGTTATACTTTTCCACACTGATTTTGTGTGCCCCCCTCTTCCATTAGTTTTAATATGTCCTGGGTCATCCATTTTTATGCAGCTATAATGCACAGTAAAAAAAAGTGGGTTTTAAAGTATTGTACAAAGACAGAAAAAAAGGTTAGAAAAATGTTACTTGAAACACTAGGAAATAGTACGATTTGCTCATGACATTAACTCTATGCCTCTACTGAAAATTTGCTTCTTTTTTCTTTCCTTTAAAAAAAATAAAGATGAAGGTTGGCTACTTGTTTGCTGCTGTTTTTTCCCCTAAATGTACAAAGCACAAAAACGCAAATTGAAACAATTAGAACAGTCAATAAATCATACAATTTGCAGGAACCAAAGAATATTAAAAGTCCTTTTGTCAAATTAGACAAAATGGTCGCAAC